TTCTCTTTCCTTCTCTATAAATTCTGCCTTTCAAATAAATAAATCTTTTGACAAAAAAATAGAGACCTACAGTAATGTGATATGTACATTGACATTCTTTTTAGCTGTTATAGGTAATCCTTAAAATGCTGTGTGACTTCCTAGCATTGTTAAGAAACCACAAAGCATTTCTTTTAAAATGAAGTTATGCTCTATTTGGATGATGGTTTTTTTTAATGTTCAAAAGCAAAACACCTGGTCCCTTTAAGAATATGAAGTGTATCCGTGTCTGAACTGTAAAACTGTAAGGAAACCTGCAGAGTCAGATATAAGCATTAATGCCATACAGATGTAAAACAATAACAAAAAAATAGATATAGGAAAATTTCTTTTGTAATAGGAGTAAGACTATACTGGAGCAGCATGCTACCTCTGCTTGCCACCATTTAGCTCAGATGATTCCTGTGCCTTTCTGACTTAAACTTAGCTGTGTGAACCACTTTATAGGATAGGAAAGATGAAATAAATTCATCTTCAATGATCATTTACAAGCAGCTATCCAGTTGATACTCTTCGCATGCCACGGCAATAAAGCTAAATAGAGCTAAACCCTATGTTGGACCCCAAGCCTCTATCACAAAATCAAACCAGAGGGCTGAGTTTCTGCTTGGCACTAGAAAAATGGGACTGTTTTAATCATAAAGGAAGAATGAGTTTGAATTGATGGGGATCAGATGTTTGGTCATTTCTTTGCATTTGCATTTCTTTAAATATGTGAGGTACTGTGGTTATAGTGTTACATCATTTTAATATAAAGAGAAAGACATAACTAAGTCTTTTGTCAAAAACGTTTAGCTGGGCTGGGTAGAATGTTCCAAGGACATGAAGAATAAGACATAATGGCCCCCACCAAGGAATTTTAGCTGAAAGCTTAGAATGGCTCATTTTTTCATGACTTTTCTTGATTTTGGCATAGTGGTTTAAATCCCCACATCCTACTTTGGACTACCTATAGTCAACTCCTGCTTCAAATCCCAGATGCAGTTTCCAGCTAATGAAGATCCTAGAGTCAGTACTGATCAGTCGAGTATTTGGAGTAGTTGGATTCTGGGCACTCAGTTGAGGGATCTGGACTGAGTTTCCAGATCCTGAGCCTCAGCCCGACCCTGACTCAGCCACTGTAGGCATTTGAGCAGTGAATCAGGGAGGGTGGGGCAGGGGCCTCACTTTCTTTCTCTTTCTCTTTTTTTCTCACAAATAATTTTGTAAATGAACTGAGATAACTTACATTTTATACCAGTTGTTTTTGTAAAGATTTATTTATTTTTAGAGAAAGACAGATACACAAAGAGAACGAGATACAGAAAGATCTTGTGTCCACTGGCTCACTCCCCAAGTGCCCACAATGGCTAGAGCTGAGCTGATCTGAAGCCAGGAGCCCCTTCCGATATCCCACACAGGCACAGGGTCCCAAGGTTTTGGGCCTTCCTCCACCACTTTCCCAGGCCACAAGCATGGAGCTAGAAGGGAAATGGAGCAGCCAAGACACAAACTGGCACCCATGTGAGATCCCAGGGTGTGCAAGGCGAGGACTTCAGCCACTAGGCTACCGTGCAGGGCCCTTTTGTACCATTTCTGAGTGTTCTTTGATTGTAATCAAATATGTAGAGCATGGATGAAATGATATTTGTGGAAACACAGAAAGATTTTATCTATGAAGATTTGTTACATTGCTTCTCCATAGGCATTGATCGGCCTGTATGGTGTGTGCATTGACTAACTTGTATGCTACCGCAAAAACGGACCAAATGACCTGTGAAATCTTTGTGTATCCAAGAATCAATAAAATAAACAGGAAAGAGTTTGGAGATAAGAATATAAGAAATTAAGTATACATTAAATTTAACTGTGTCACTCCATGAATTTATATCTCTGGGCTCCAATCTAAACTATAAAATCGAAGAATAGTCTTAATTGTCCCTGATAAGCATGACAGTCTAGGCTATATCTACAAATCCCCATTTAGGGACATGAGAAGGCCACAGTAGAAGCCTCAAGAGCTCTTCACAACACTGTGTTGAAAGATTAAAAATGCACTTTGTATATTTTTTTCCCTTTAAGATCCTGTTAAGGGGCTATTGATCACTGATTCGTGCAATATCTTGGCTTCATTTCTATTTTTAAAGTTTGAAACAAGAGTTAGAGTAACTCATATCAAGGGAGTTTGTGTCCATAGTACTGGATGTTAGTCCCATAATACCTTTCATATGTTTGAAATAAAGAGTCTTAGAAAAAGTTTCCTAGAAACCAAAGGTTAAACAGTGCCTTGTCAGTCTATTGCTGTAATCACCTTAACTCCCATGATAAATGTTGCCAAGCTCCTGTCTCATTGCCATTATAAATTTTTGCTTTCACTCTGATTGGCTTTGGCAGGTTATTCTTAGATAATATTAAACTTCAGTCTTTTCTTTAACCAGGAACTTTTGCCTTCTCAGCAAGGACACTCACTGGCAGTGAGGTTAGTGATGGGGAATATTGCGATGTAGATGCTGGCCAGGTAGCCATCTATAATTCAGTTTCAACCTTTTAAGAATGTGCAGCTCTAGACTGCATTGGCTCTAAATCAAGGAAACTGCTTTCAAATATAAATGAGGAAACCTTTTTACCAGGGCTAACTATTCCTGTAATGCAGACTAGGAAAATATCTGAAGAATTGGACCCTTAAATGTAGCTTAAGTACAGATAATCCCAGTGTCTCTTGGGCGAATTTTTATTGTCCTTTAAGAAAACCCATCACAGGGCACAGGTGCATGCAGTAGCCTAGAGGCTAAAGTCCTCATGGTGCATGTGCCAGGATCCCATATGGGCATGGATTCTTTTTCTGGCTGCTCCACTTCCCATCAAGCTCCCTGTTTGTGGCCTGGAAAAGCAGTTGAGGATGGCCCATATTCTTGGGACCCTGCATCCATCCAAGAGGGAAACCTGGAATAAATTTTTGACTCCTGGCTTCAGATCAGCTCAGCTTCAGCCCTTGTGTCCACTTGTTGGAGTGAACCTGCAGATAGAAAACCTTTCTCTATGTTATTTCCTTCTCTGTGTATCTCCTTTTCAATAAAAATTAAATCTTAAAAAAGAAAACCTAACACTAGTTTCAGTGCAAGACTATAATTGGATGGACTCTTAACAAATGGAAAACTGTAGAAAACTTACAGATTCCCAAGATGTTACCCCACACCTGGTTGTTGCTATCTGTATCACCTGGCTCAGTTCTCTGTACTTATAAATATATGAGTTTAATGTTTGGGATAATGAAAGATATCTCTTTGAAGAAATCATACAAATAAGCTTAGTTTTCAACATATTGTAAGTATTTTTTCATAGGATAGACATGATGTGCTTTTCCTGATGCTTAAATTAACTCTGAGAAATATTAAGCACTGACGTGTGAATGCATGGAGAGTGGAGTCCTTTTACATGGTATGCTTGTTTTGTTTCATGGTTTTAGATTATATTTGAAATTGTGTGTGCAAGAAGGCAGAGTAAGCTACTCAAAAACAAGGTTGATGTTGATTGTGTTAGTAAATGAAAGTTGATGGTTATTCTTTGTGGTTGGAAGAATTTAAAGAATTGTGTGAACGTGATGGTGTTATTTCCGTTTAAAGTTTGTCTCAGTTTACAGCAGTGTTAATCTTTCCTTTTTGTCATTGCTCGTAAAGACCTAGTAGACTTTAAGAAGGAATCAAAAATCCTTTCAACAAGAAGTGTATCCTAGAGAAGAAATTGGTTTCTCCATTTTGAAACACGAGCCACTTAGTTGGGAGAATTAATGTGCTCAAATGATAAAGCCTTGTTGCTGAATTGAATGCTTGTTATCTTTAATAGTTTGCCAGGTACAATGTGGATGTTTTGATGCTTTAATGATTTCCTGTTAAGACAACATCACACACCCTTTTATATAGCATGAAGTAATATTTGAGTCATCAACTTGATGCAATATGCTGATAACTGTTTTACGTTATGTTCATTCAGGTCATATACATCTTATTCTTGACACTAAGGTTCTTACTCATATATCTGTTCTATTTCAGGCAAACACCCCCTATCCAAACTTGGAAGAAGCATTGTTTCATATTTTAACCCTAATGCTTAGAATCTCACATTACTATTCTTGTATTCCACATCAAATTAAATCCTTTTCCAAGTTAAAAAAAAAAATCACCTAGGATTTGATGGGTTGTCACCACTGTGACCTGGGCACCAAGTATCATTGGTTGTTCAGCTTCTTCCCTAGGACTCACTGCTACACCCAGCTTCATACCTTCTGTCATTTCAGTTGCTCTTTTTGTGGTTCTGTGAGTCATTTTTGCCTCTTTGTGCAAGAGACCAAATCAATTCATGGCAGTATCCATCATTTGCCAAGCTTTCATTCCTTTCCTATTCTCAGTCTCGCCTTCTGGTCTTATTTCTGAACATCGTTACTCCTCTGCTTAGCATTGGAGAGCACTTCACACATCCTGGAAGAGGCTACTAACTCTTGTCTTTATTCCGCAATACTAATACTCTGTCATCTGCTTATGTGAAATACTAATTTGTTTTTATTCCCTTTGTTCCTTTACCTGATTGTTCTTAATACCCAGTAAACCATCTTTTTCTGTCATTGGCCTTCTATTACATATATTCACTGATATTCATTTATCAAAGAATGTAGGTGACGAGAAAATACTTATTTGCCTACTTCTTAGCCATTTGATAAATGTCTTCACATGCATACCAGCTTCTGATCCCAACAACCCTAAGGGGTAGATGAGCATTTTCTTCCTTTCACAGAGCAGATCAAGCTGATGTTCAAAGCATTTTGAAAGACTTGTCCATAGCTAACTCAAGGTTAGAACCCAGATCTCCCAACTCTTTCTACTGTACATATCACCTCTCTCTGGCAGAAGGATTGCAACCCGCTGAAGATCTTCACTGCACTGGAAACTGGATGAAAATTAACCAAACCCTTCATTGTACCTTTGCAGATGAGAGTCCCTACACTAAATCCGCCAGCCAGACAAAGCCGCCTGATGGAGCGTTGGCTGTGAGGAGACAGAGCATCCCAGGTTAGACCAGACCATTGGATTTTTCAGCTGTTTTACTTTTGAATCCTATTGTTTGGTGACCTGAAATTCCCACTTGGTAATAATATTCATGTTATTTCCTACAACATGGACTGCATTCTACACCAGTTGTTTAAACAATAATCACAAAAGCTAAACTTGAGAAAATCTTGCCAGCATATGCAAATTCATCTCATAATCCATCATTGTAAAATCTTTTGTAATAAGACTTGAATCTATATCAGCCCTTATCCGTGTACTTGTTCTCACTTCTGTTTTCAGAGGGTGACTTTCACAGCATCTATTTCTTTGCTTAGACATACCTAGCAAAACAGAAGAGTTCAAAATTGCAGTAGCAGAACATGCATGCTGAATAAAACTTACACATTTCTTCCCATCTCTTTGAACTTGGGTTTGCTTTCAATAAACTACTCTTATAAATTTCTGAGACTTTTGCTTCCTTAGAAAAATCTGAATTGAATCCTTAATATAATAAATGGTATCCATGCTTTTTCAGCAAAACATTTAGAAGAAATACTTTAAAATGCCTATGCCCTAAAACTTTAATGTTTGCAAGCTTTGATCTTAAGAATGACACAAAAGCATGTAACTTCTCAAATTAAAGGGGAATGAAAAATTCAAAACTTTATCTGAGCCAGGTAACTCATGGAAAAGTCCTTTATAGAAGCAATTATGCATTAAAATGGATTAAATGTGTTAATACATTCTTAGAAAAATAGTGTGTTTATACATTTTAAACAGGCAACCTATGCAGACAAAGCATGACTATAGGATTTTACAATACAGTACTTTTTATCAATTCTGGAGAAATAAAACAGTGTTTCTGATATTGAGTTGAATGATTTGGCAAATCTTTCAGTGAACATGAGAATTTTTCATTTGAATAAAGAGCAAAATGAGTTCATTTTTTGAGCAACCCTTTTGAACAGCCCTTTTCATGATTATTTATTTGTATAAGAATTATGTGTGGTTATTTTTATTCTTATCCTGAAGTTTTAGATTCATTATGAAAAATACATGGCTTACAGACGATATTTGAATATGTTAAACATCTTTATTTTGGTGCCTTGAAGATGCTAAATTCACTTAAATCCTGTAGTTAGATGGCCTCATTCAGTGTGAGGGCCTCTTTTTTCCATCCGCTAAAAGGTCATTCTTAGTGCCAGGTACATTCAGAAAAAACACCTGCTGTCAACTATGGATTATTTCTCTGCTTTCTCCTTTCCAACATTAAGAAAGTTCCCAAAGTTGAAAGTTGAAGTGTGTCAGTTGTCTGCCAACTTTTCTTGGCTTCTCTGTAGCAGCTGATGCTCAATATTCTCCGTTGAAAAGAGGCAAAATCATGCCCTCCACTTTTGCTGCTTTCTGTGATTTTAGACCTACACACTATTATCAGTACTTTCCTTTCGTGGGCTCTGCAATGTCACATCCTAAATGGCAGCATATCTTTGAGGGTTAGACTGTTTGTGAAAGGTATGAAGTAGTGTTTTTATGTAACTTGTTAGGGTCACAGAATCAGTTCATCCTAATTCTTAGTTTGTGATATCCAAGTGATTCCTCACAGAATTTTTCTCTTTGTGTGTCATATTTAAGCCACTGGACTCGTGGACTCATGAATGGTTTTGTAGATTGCATACATTGTTTCTCTAGAATCCAACCAGCAACAAACCGTTTGGGTTTTCTTCCTTTTTTTAAAAAAATCTTGTATAAGGTATGGAGAGTTCAGAGATTTTTTGAAGCCTTCTAAGTTATTTAGAATAGTCGAAGAAAACAGGGTACACCAGCCAGAGGGTTCAAAAGACCATGCTACTGTAATAAGGAGAAAATTAGTGAGCTTCTTAGGAACAGCTTCCCAAAATGTCAGTAACTTTTTGAGGTTCTGATGTTTCCTCTTGCTTTAATGTACTCAATTCTTTTTTTTAACAAAAAAGAAGGAAGTGTTTCCCCCAGACCTTAGGACAGGACATACTTACAGAGATCTGATTCACCACTGAGCAGTTTTGGCAGGTCAGCTGCCATGTCCACCTTTGTCCTGATGAAGTTCACAAACAGTCAGCCAATGCACAGAGAAGGACTTGGAAAGGTGTGCTCTCCCCAGTTATTTACTGGAGTTTCAGCTGAGAAATCCTTGCTCAACTAAGTAGAACACATAGAATTTTAAGAGCTAATTGCAATTTTATAGCCTTGGTCTCTTTCTCCTGTGCCCATGTCCCAATCTTACCTCCATCATATTAGCTCTGTACTGGTAGTAAGGAAAGATGCAATCACAGAAAAGCACACCACAGAAAAGGAAGCTTGTAGACAGCTCTATTCCTTTAGCACCCCTTGATCATTCTTGTAAAATTGTATTTATTTGAGAAATAGGAAGAGAGGAAGAGACAGAGGAGCTGGTGTCCACAGGTTCACTCCACAAATGCCACAACAGCCAAGCCTGGGTCAAGCTGAGGCCAGGAGCCCAGAGCCCTTTCCAGGTCTCCTAGCTGCTTTAGCAATCAACCCTGCTTCCCAGGATCTGCAGTGTGGGAAGCCAGAAGCAGGAACAGAACTGGAACTCAAACAAGACATTCTGATCTGAGATATGGGCACCCTAGAATCAGAATCCTCACCAAAATGCCGAATTTCCACCCTCCCAACCCCTGACCTTCTCAGGGCAAAGGAGCCTTCTCAGACAGATCCAACCCCTGGACCATTAAGCACACTACTTCCTGTGGGGAGTGAGCCAACACTAGGACACTCATCCACATTTCCCCATAGCTCTACCCAAAAGGATCCAACAGTAGTGAATGAAATTGAACATTTGTGTGAATACTTTTTTTGATGAATTGGTTAGGACTCTAGGGGAGGAAAAGAGGAATGGAAAGCTTCTCTATTTAAATCTTGTAACATTTTAAATCATTTTTAAAAAATTAATTCTATAAATGTAAATCTGGTGCTGTTTAAACTCTATACATAGGTGAGATTCTTGCCATGAGCTCCAACAGCATTTTTGTAGCCTGACAAGCAGTGGTTTTTAACAAGTTTATCCATTATGAGTATTAAATATAGCAGAAGCATGATTTGTTTTTCATTCATTTCTAAATTCAGTACCACTATTTAAATTTGAAATTACTTCAGCAATTATTTTATAATCATGTCAAATATGTGTCTTTCATTAATGCCAGATCTACCTTTAAATCCTTTCATCCCCACTCCTTTTCTCTTCCAAAAAAAAAAAAAGGAACTGGATTAAACATATCTTAGGAACAAAATGCATTTGGTTTGGATGAAAGGGAAATGCATTATTAATGTTATTTGGGAGCCTGTCATTTTAATCATGTCTCTCATAGAACAAAATGTAAAATTAAAAAAGACATGTAGACTCTGATATGCTCCTGTAAATTTTTTAATGATGAAGATAGTAGAAAAATAATAGTAATTTGCCTAATTCTTCATGTAATTAAAATATTAAGGAGCTCTGTGTTCAATTTTACTCCTGCCCATTTTTAAACATAAGATGAAATCTAGGTGAAAAGATAGTTTGCACTAATAGATCCTGCCACATATTTATACCCATTTAGAAAAATATATTGACCTTGGTCGGTCTCCTTTGTTTGGCAGTTTACCTAGTGGAATGTAGTTTGTCCCCTTGAAGTGTTTGTTCAAGTTATTAGTGGATATCCGGTTTGACAGATTTAATGATAATATGTAGCTTTACCCTCTTACAGATGAGGCATTTAATCATAGCTGTCTAATGTTTTTGAAGAGGAAAGACAGAATAGAACATTAAACCTCAAAGCCTGGAGTCAATATATTAACTCCTTGACTTATCTTTCTTCCCATACTGGATATCTTTCTTTGCTTATGCTAGTCTTGACCAAAAATTCTGACTAGGCGAAAAATGTAGGACAATGTGTAAAACTCACAGCTATTGAATTTCCAAACTTTGGTGTATTCAGGAAAAGTATATCAAATCTGTATCCAGAATAAAGTCATGCAGTTTTCTTGTAGGATTTTCTTCCTTCCAGATCACCAATGTGATCCTCATGTGTTGATGTTAGTAGCAAAATTTATATATTTAGCTAAGAGTTTGAAAGTATCCAGTAACGCAAAGTATGGAAGTCCATCTACTTAAAGTACATTCAGGATTGATCAGCCTCTACTGAAGAATCATTCTGAAAAATAATAGTGTACCCTTGACAGCCATGGAGAGGCTGGCAACCTTGAATTAAGGGGAAAGGGCAGAAAATGTGAAGGTCCTTCACTCTCTGTTCAGCATTTCCTTGTCTTTATGATGCACAATTTGATGCTTCATTGGTCTAAATTTTCATTATGACAGCAGATATGTGGTGTGACTTTTGCACTAGGACTTTTTTCAGCTGTACTGCTGTTCAGATGTGTGATGGGCAGCTACTCTGGTTTTCTGACCTGTTCTACTTTCCCTGTTAAGTTCCACCCTTGAGCCTCTCCAAAAGAAAAAAGAAAAAAAAGAATGTCAGTGATGGAAAAGCAAGTTCCATGGAATCCACCCAGTATGAAATGTCATACAAAGAAGAGAGTTATGGATGCTGCTAGGTAGTTAAGTCAGACTCAGCTGTTAATGAAGATCTAACCAGTGGGGAGATATAAACAGACAAACACCGTTGCTACTGGCCAGTTGACAGGGCATCCTTATAGGTATGTTGGCCAAAGCGGAGACCTTGGGGGCTGAGGACTACCAAGTATGCTACCAAATCCCTCACTGTCAGCATAAAGAAAATCCAAAGCAATGGTGTTTCCCATTGTTAGAATTTCTGAATATTTAAAAAATAGTGAAATTCCATCACTTCTGTACAGATCAGTTTCTCAGCTCAGACTGTCAACATTATTTGTATGATTGTGTGTCTGAGGCTCTGCCTCTCCTTGTCTTTCTTCCCCCTAGTTACTTATCACTATGCCAAGTTGGTTGATATAAGTATTTCCTTTTTTTTTTCCTTCTCCATATTTATATCAAGTATAAGCTACAT